AGTGTTTAGTCTTAGTAAGATGGTAGCTTCTTAAAGCATATGCCGTCCTTGAGTTTTAGGTACGTGAAGAGAAGTACAATGAATTCAATTACGAGTACAATTGCAATGACAACCAAGGCAACTATTTTTGTCTTTTGCCAGCAAGGGTACTTCTTCTCTTCCAATGGTTCGGCAGAACTATACTCACTCATGAGAAATGCCAAAACGGTTTAATAGAAAAAGTGTCATTTTTTCATGTCCGAAGACTCGAAGGTGCAACACTTCCAAAATACCGACGAACTCAGAAGAGCAGCATGGCAGTATCTTCTTGACAACTTTTTTGAGTTCTCCAGGTACACCTTGGAAAATGCTGAAGAACTCCGACACAGAGAATTTGGAGAAATTGCACTCCAATACTACCTTGACAAACAAAGGGTAAACAAAGGGTAAATTAAGACTAAAAACTTAACGTTTAAAAAGTGACATTTTTATGAGCTCCGAGTCACCGAGAAAACTTGGTCAGATGTTAGCAGCTTACTTCCCTGAGGAGGATGGAAGCGTTACATACATCAGGTTCAAAAACAACGAACCTGGAATTGCGTACAAAATTCGCAATTACATGACCATGGAAGAGTACGAAAGGTTCCTACAAGAGAAACCAGCTCTAAACAACTCAGAAAAGAAAGAATAAAAAGTTTAACTCGTAATTGTTTATTTTTTTTTACTTGTATGGGCAAGCTGCAAGAATGAAGTCGACTATCTCAGTCTTTGTTTTGACGAGCTGGACGGCTCTTGCGAGTACGTCTGTTTTGCGGTCTCCAGCTGGTGTCTGACCTTCGTAATTGCGCATGTTCTTGAGAGCTCCAACTGTAAATGATTGTAGGATGAAGAGTCTCTCAGACTGCTTGAGGTAGTCTTCACGGTCACGAACCGAATCTGTGGTACGAGTCGAATCGGTCGATTTGAGGGAAGAGACTGAAAGCCTGTCGTCTTCCATAGGGGCTGTGGCATACTCTTTGCGTAAACGGTTCAGACCTTCTTCGAAGTCTTGGTCTCTCTTCGATTGAGATTGGAATTGGAATTGCTGGGGTGGAGCTTGCTGGAACATCCAAGGGTTGGGGAAGTAAGGCATAGGCTGAGGAGGGTAGTTCGGGAAGCCTTGTGGTGGGTAGTAACCTTGAGGTGGAAATTGGTAGTAAATCGGAGGTACTTGCTGGAACTGAGGTTGCTGAGGAGACTGTTGTGGTTCTGCAGCTTTCGGTTCTTCTGGTTTGGGAATGGACTGGGTTGGTGGGACGTCGGACATTCGTTTGTGTCCTGTCGGAAGGAAAATATTTTCCTGTCGGAAGGAAAAATTTTTTCTGTCGGAAGGAAAATATTTTCCTGAAGTTCGACCAAAAAGTTCTCAATTTTCGAAAATTTGAATGGTTTACGGACGGACAACTGGAAGAGTTCTTCCTGTCGTCGGGAAAAATTTTTCCCTTTGTCCGGAAAATATTTTCCTGTCGGATGGAAGGACTCGGAATGCCAGAAGGATTTGACGAGGCAATTTACCTAATTGAAATTAACGACTGCGTAAAAGACTACTTGCGCAAGGTAATGAAGCCCAAGGTCAAGTTCACCAGTATTTCTGGAAGGTCTACACTTCAGCTCGAGACTTCGACTGGAATTCCAATTCAAATACCAGAAAACACTCCTTTCGATGGCATAAAGGACGCCAAAAGAGAAGCTCTTGTTAAGTTCCTAAACAAACGTCCTTGGATAAAAATACCAAACAAGGAGAACCCCCTACCCCATATGAAATTGGCAATTCAGTCTCTCCTTCACTTCTCTGGTCAGCCGTTCTACATAACCTCAGAAGGCGACATCCAACCCGTCATATATACTACTCGGTAAACATCTATATGGCACGCTTTGAGTAAAAACATTTTTTTCATTTTTTGAATGAAGCAAGTTAAATTCGTCCCACACCAATCTGAATGGACCGATGAAGAGTTTCAAGCCATAGTTGAAGACGTTGAGAACGACATAGACGGCGAACTTAAAGGAGCTCAAATCACAATTGCAACCAAAATTGCAGAGGTCAAGGAACAGATAGCTCCACTTAAAGCTACCAAAGCTACTCTTGACCTCATGGATAGTTACCGTTTAGATGTCAAGAGTGGAATAAGACAATTAAAATTAAAACTTCTAAACTACGAAGCTATACTCCAAAAGTTAGCAGAAATGAGAAGACTTTACCAGAGCTACTTACATGTAAGGGACTTACCTTCAAGCAGTCCGACCAAAGATGAATTTGTTGACATTGTCCCAATTTTGTCCGAAAGTCAGCTCAGATGTTTCGAACTGCTCCCAACATATCCGGAATATGAACGTTTGCCTGAACTCTTCCGCAATCTCAAAAAACGTTTTTTGGTTCTCATGTTCCAAACTTTTATCGGAAGAGACAACAAACGTTCAGAAGAAGAACAAGATATTATTTTAAACTTGTTGTATGACATAACTGTCATAACAAGCTTTTTGAAGTAAAACCGCCATTCTCAAACTACTTCATTTTTTCGATGTCCGAACAAGCACCGAAGCCAAACTCAATGGCAGATGTCCTTTCAAGGTTGCCAGAAAAGCGCCCAGTTCAAATTCAAATTGCCCAATTGAACGCTCATCTGTCAAACACCATTAAGACTCTCCAAAGTAGTCTTATGGAAGAGATAACCAATCTCAAAGCCAATGTCCTCATGAACCAAGCTTCCAATGAGAAAGTCCTGAACGATTTCGCGGAAACCTTGCGCCAATACAACATAGAGAACCAAAACCTTGCCCGACTCATCTACCGTTTCTTCGAAGAGATAGACGCCATCTGGAAGGTACTCGGAAAGGACAGAACATGCAACACCGTACTTCGTGAGTACCAAATTGAAGAAGGAATTGTCGAGGAAGAAGAGGAAGAAGAGGAAGAAGAGGAAGAAGAAGAAGAGAAACACGAAGAAAAGGAAGTTTGGGCAACCCTTGTTGCCGATGACGCTTACGAAATTTCCCAACCCTACCCATACCAAATCCGCAACAAGGAGACAGGCAAGGTTCTTACCCCAGTCCTCAACAACTTGGGACACTTGAACCTTAACCTTCGGAATCGCGGTTCAATCTCCATGGGCAAGCTTGTCGCAATTCAATGGGTTCCAAATCCAGACAAGAAGACGAGGGTCAGACACATTGACGGTGACAAGCTCAACAACCGTAAGGAGAACCTCGAGTGGTTCTAAGAGTAAAAAAATTTTATTTTAGGGGGAAACCCCAAGTAAATTTAGGTGTTTATTTGGATAAGTATGTTAAATTAAGGGTAATTTGCAAAATTAGTTCCCGACCTTTGAATTGGGCTCTTTCGTTATCCCAGTTGCGTAGGAGGTCGTCCCAGAGGAGTTGGTAGAATTGCCAATCCAAGGACGATTTGTCCTCCCAGGCATTGAGGATGTACTGCTCGTAGAGTTTCATGACCTCTGCCTTGCACCAGACACCCTCTCCCTTGGAACGTAAGGCTTCTTCGAAGTGCTCGAATGCGATTGGCTGCGTGACCATCCGAAATGACACTTTTTGTCCGTTTGGTCAATGTTTGTGTCTCGTGCCATAGTCGATGAAAATACAGACAAACAGGTTATATATGAGTTTGAGACCAAGAATGGTGTAACTCGACCTGTCCGATTCAAAGACTCCGAGGGCGACCATGAAATTAAACGGAAATTAGCTAGGAAGGAATATAAAATGGACTGGTTGCCACCACCTCCACCTCCACCACCTTTACCTGTTCCTCAAGTAAATAAGCCTTTCCCGTTCCCAAGAATTCCCACATTTTAATTCAAATTCGAATAAAAATTTTTTATTTCATGCAATGTTTTATTTCTGTGCCGTCTTCAAGTATGCCCCAGTACTTACGCTTGGAGAGGACATGAACTTCGGAAAATACCTTATCTAGCTTAAAACAGCCCATCTTTTCACCGACCATTCCCATTTCAATGAGTTTGTTGTATCCTTCTTCGTTCGTCATGAGTGCGTCAATGTTCTCATAGTAAACCTTCACTTTGGATTTGACTTCGGAGAAGAATTTGTTGTAGTTGTCAAGGACTGCTTTTGCGAACTGAGGGTAAGACCAATGTTCGACAATAGGTTTTAATGTGGTTACTAAGCCACTTTGACCTTGAGTGAATTCGTACTTCAAAACAAAAGGAGAAAACCTTTCAACAAAGTTGTCGACCTTCTCATAATGTTTACTCTTCATCTCTTGAGGTTTCTTAATGGAATATCCCCATGTCGAATTCATAAGCAATTTGAGTGTCATTGCAAGTTTGGGGTTTGAAGCTTTCCTAATATCATACAGTTGTTGTATGACTTTTCCAACTGTATAGTTCCTTCCCGGGAACTCACCATCTTCGTTTGGAATTCCAGTCGGAATATATTGGACAAACCTCATGTATGCAGCGTTAAGGTCGACATAGTATATCTTTTCGTTTGAGTCGAACTTGTCACAACCAATTGGTCCAGTTTGTGGAAATTCAAGTGAGTCTCTTATCTTCTGAGAAACTTCTCCTGTTATCTCATAAACATCGTCGAAGCAACCTGTTTCATATAAAACCTTCTGACCTAACTCAGATGCTCTCCAATACAATTTGACGTCAATTGGATGTCTCAATGGAAGTTTGTTTATAGCATCTTGAAGTTCTTGCAACCTCATTGGAAGTTCTTCTGGTTCAGGTTGGTATCCGAACAATCCAACTCCTTGTGGAATTGTGTACTTCTTTTGTACTAGAACTTTGTCTGGAACAACTTTTGGTCTTGCTAACAGTGAAAAGTTTGTTTCGTCTTTTGGTACAAAAGTTTCTGTCAGCTTGTCATCTGGAATTGGTTCCAACAAACCTTTCTCGAAAAGAATGTTTACAGCTCTGACAATGTTGCACTTGCCTTTTCCGAACAATGGGTTTGTAAGACTTTCGTTCAACATGAAGTGGTTGTGGACAATTACAATCTTCAACCATGGTAAGTCTTTGTCAACAACATAGTCGTCATGTGAAGAACCTTTAGCTGTAGGTATGCTGACTCGGATATTGACATTTGCCAACGGTGCAATTTTTGCCAATTGACCTCTGAGAATGTACCTTGTCTTCACACATGACTCAAGATACTTCATCTTCTCTTCTGTAACAAGACCAGAGTTCCTGAGACATGTAAGAATGCAAGGTTCGTTGACAATTGTTTCAATTGAATTGTAAATTCCATACCTTGTCAAGTCAATGTCAGACTTATTTATGAAGGGGAAGTATCCAGCATGTTGTCTGACTGCTTGAGGGTTAGGTTGGTACCATTCGAACTTGACACTTGCAATTCCTTCAATTGCATTCAAAATGTCTGAGTCGGAGTCAACCATTTGTTCTCTCTTTGTAGTCTTGAAAGCGTCAAGAAGCATTGCAGTTGTTGTGACATTGCCATGTGCATAGTAAATGTGACCATCCAAATCTGTTATGGTCAATCTGAGATTGTATCCTTTCTTATTTCCATCTTGAATTGCAGCAAGTACTCCCATGAAGCCTTCTTTGTTCTTTCCTTCGTCAAAGTTTACTGTAAAGGTTCGACCAGAAGTAATTTGACTTCTAACTTCACGGTACTTCTCATATGCATATCTTGTTCTTTCCATGGGAGCATGACCATCCTCTGCACTACCTTTTTTCCTTCTCAAAGGATGCAATTGTTCGTCATGTTTCCAGTAGAATCTGGCAAAGCCGTCGTGTCCTTCAACTTGAGGTTCACTAACATCGAAAGGCATGTCCATAAGACGTTCTTCTTCTAACCTCTCTAGTCTGTTTGGATAATTTGCACGTGCTGTTTCCAAATCCATTTCGTAGCGAAGACCAGACAATTTGTCATAGACTTTTATGGGTCTTCCCTTCCTATATTTAAAATTCTTCGAAACTCTCCAACCATATCTTTGCAACTCTGCTTTTATTCTAGCAGATTTTCTATCCATTCTATATGGGGGCATTTTTATAAAAATAAAAAAATATTTTTTTCTTTACTTAACATAACCGCCTGCTGCCATAAGTCTTTGACGCCAACCCATACCAGCTAATGAAGGTTGACTTGGTTTAGTTTCCAAACTAAACTTTGGTTTTGGTTTATCTTCAGTTTTTGGTTTTTCTTCTTCTATCGGTTTTTCGTCACTTTTCGGTTTCTCTGACTTTACTTCACTTGCAGGAACAGTTGTGTCGTCAACATCTTCATAAATATCATATGCCATTTGTTTTTGTTTTCCTTTCAACTTTTTGTGTTTGTTGTAAAGTTTAGAATATTTCGACTCTAAGTCAATGAGATGTTCTATAATGAACTGTTGGTCAGTGAAGTAAACTTTTCCATCTGTTGTCTCGAAAGCTCCTTCAGACTTCAATATTTTATTTGTGAGAGTCTGTTTCTTTTTTGAGATACTTGCCGTTCCATTTTTATGAAAAGTGACTTTGTAGTTAGGGTTTGTATTTCCAGACCTGGCACTTTCTATTATTGAATTTTTCTCTTCATCTGTAAGTTCTTTGACAGGTTTTGACAATGGTTCTGAACTTTTTGTTTGTGGTGTCAAATCTACCGTTTCAACTTCTTCGGTCATTTCATCTCAGTAAAAAATTTTAGTTTGGTTTGTTTTCAACTGGTTGTTGTTGTTTTTTAAGTCGGTCTAAAACTTCCTGAGGTATAGGAAGAACTTGACAAACACGTTGTGTAACTGCTGGAAGCCGACAAATCCATCTTGAACCCATTTGTCTCAATGCTGTATTGTTCATTTCATCTCAGTAAAAAACTTTACATTCCCCACGTTTGAGGCGGTTGAGGTTGGTTATTGTTTACCCATTGTTGTGCATGGTTATATCCTCTGTTAAAGAATCTTTCACCTTGGTCCATATAGTGTCCTGCTTGGTTATAGTAGTCATTTGCTTTGTTATAATAGTTTCCTGCTTGTCTTCCTACATTGTCCATCCATCCTTGAACTTTTCCTCTTGTTTCAGGATTTGGAATAAGATTTGTTGCATCTCGTGCTACATCCAACCTTTCTGTACAGTTTGTATAATAGGTTGTGCTTTCTCTTTAAGTATACCTAATGTACTCAAAATCTTCCTTCCAACTCCAAATACACCTCTGGCTATTGTTCCCACTGCGGGCAAAAATCTGGATGCAACTCCTGCTAATGCGCCAAATAAACCCATTTCTTATAGGATAAAAAATGACGAATCCAAACAAGGACCCCTATGTTTCTAAAGCGACAAAAAAAGCACTCATGATAAAAATCTTTAGTTCAACACCAAATGCTTGGTTTATGGATATCTTGGAAAACATTCCGAGAGTTAGAACAGATGGACCACCATACTGGCTAATATTTGTTGGTCAAAACACAAGATACTGTGAAGCTATACCATTATGGTCCAAAAATATTTTAGATGTGAAAACTGCTTTGACAATATTCGTTGACAAATACCATCCAACAAAACTGACATCTGACTGTGAAAGTTCTTTCAAATCAGATGATGTAAAAAACTATCTGCGTTCAAAAAATGTAAACCAATATTTCATTGTCGACCAAAACCATTCTGCTCTTGGTGTCATTGACGGTTGTATAAAAATGTTAAGAGACTTAAACCAACCACAAGGTGGTGAAGCAAATGAAATGTCATATGACGACAAATATAGACACTTCTCCATGGCAAAGATGAGACAAGTTTTAAATATTTACAATAGCCGTAAACAAAAAGGTTTGGGAAACCACGCCCCCGAAGAAATGAAAAACAACCCTGACTTAGAGAAAGACTATATATTTAATAATTTAGTCAAAAGAGACAAACAAGAAAGAATGCCGGGCTTCAAACTTCAGAAAGGTGACAAAGTAAAAATAGAAATACCTAAACGCGACCCATATGAAAATACTATTGACTATGACAACAATGGGAACCCGACAGGTACTCACATTCGTGTTCGTAAAAATAGAAGAAAGTATACAAGAGAATATTATGAAGTTTTAGGCAAACATGGCAAAATGTACAGACTGCAAGCAGAAGATAAAACTACTATTGTCAGACCTCGTTTCAAACTTGTCAAAGTTCAAGGTGGTATACTTTCAAAGACAGTTCCTAACAAATATAAGACAACTCCTGACGAATATGCTAAAGAAGTTGAAAATGACGACTAAGCATTTCTATACCATGCGTAAACTGTCATGTAAGGTGGCATGTATTCTTTACTTTGTCCCGTTGTTTGCGTATATCCTGAAACGTGATGTGTATGGTTTCCATCTCCCTGAGTGTCACCCCAGAAACAATTTATAGCAAACTGAACGTCGTCTTTAACATCATATCCTTTACCTTTTTTCATTGCTGACCAATCCCAAAATTTATGCTTATGCCAACCTGCTTGAGATGTACTTAAATCTATGTAGTGACTGTGCGCAGGTAAATTTTCACCTGAAATCGTTTTACTTCCTCCTGTTTCCTTTGAAGAGTTTGCACAATACAAAAACCTGTCAACTATTTGTTCCCATGCACCAACACCAAACATTACTTGAGGACCTCTTGCTTCCATAGATGTATAAATAGAACCTACTGGGTTCATTAAATCAAACATATGAGATAATATAGGATTGTCTCTTTTGAACTTAAAATATAGTGTAACTATTTCTGGTTTCTTCTGGTTTGTGTCAGAATATTTTTTATAATATAATCTTATGTTTTCGGGGTAGGTAAAATCTTGACTATAATATTTATTTTTGTCATCTATATAATAATATACTATTCTCGTTTTTTCTATTGCATTATATCTTTTATATCTATAATATTCTAAATATAATGTTTGCTTTTTTGGGTCTACACGTGCGTCAACACCATAGTCATAATAATATGGTGCTGGAGCTGGGTTAGGTAATGTCATATCTGCCATTTCATAAACTCTTAAATATTTCTTTTGTTCGTCTCCATATAAGTTTAAGTAACAGTTGTTGTCTAATGGAACTTTAACTTGTGTACCATTATTCTTTATATAGCTTACATACATTTCATTGTTATTTTTCGGAATGAGTTTATACCGTATACCATTTTTTAAGGACTGTACAAACTCCCATCTAAAATATTTGTTTTCTTCATTGACAGAAAAGTCACCAACAATAGTTTCAATATTTTTTGTTGTTCCTATCAAACTTTGGTATATTTCATTGACATATGTTTTATCTGCTTTCTTTTCAAGGCTAACGTTTAAGTCTGTTATTTCAGAAGATGTATGTGTATGTCCAACGGCACTTTTCCTGTTTAAGGTTTCTTGTAAGTTTGTAATATCAGATATAGAATGTGTATGTCCAACGGCACTTTTCCTGTTTAAGGTTTCTTGTAAGTTTGTAATATTTGCAATGGTATGTGTATGTCCAACGGCACTTTTACTGTTTAAGGTTTCTTGTAAGTCTGTTATTTCAGATATAGAATGTGTATGAGTCTTTTTAGAATATTCGTTTTCAGCTCTTGTCACTTCACTTGACATTTTATTGTCAACATATGTTTTGTCTGCTAGTTCAGGATGAGTATGTTCTTTTGTTGCATAAGCATTGTTAGCTCTTTCTTCTTCTTTTGCTATTGCATCGTCTACATATTCTTTGTCAGCTTTGTTGTCAACATCTGCTTTCAAAAGAAGTTCATTTATAGGTTTCTCGTTTAAAGTTCCTTTTGTTGGATTTATACAGACAGTATTGTTCTTCTTGTCTTGAAATAGAAACTCATCTGTCATTGGGTTTAATGTCAGTTTTAAGTTTCCTTCTTTCAATGACTCAGATATCTTAGAATAGTTTGAAAAGTTTGTTGTGTTCTTATTTAGAGCTTGCACAATGAGTTGTCGGTTGTGTTGTATTTCTCTCATGGAAGCAATATCTTTCGACATTTTTATTCTAGATAAAATATGCTTCCAATAGAAAAAGAAAATTCAAGAGTTGCTACAACTAAACCATTAGATGAACTTTTTACTAATGTCGGTCAAAAGTTTGAGACAGAGACCGTAAAGCATGAAGGCTATCGTTTTGACTACCCATTAAGATGGCTAAGAGACCCATCTGTCACAAAAGCTATTGGCTTTCGTAGAATGAAGTTCATTTCAGAAGCCATACATGGTTTCCCATTTACGGTCAGTTTTGAAGTTCGATACTATAACAAAGAAAAACGTATGTATGAGAAATTTGAACAGGGAAAACTTTTACAAGTTAGTTTGCTTGTAAACTTAGAAACAACTCTTCAAGCTTTTCAAGAAAAAATAAACAATATCTATATCGAATATGCAAAACAGTATAACATTGACGAAGGAGAATACCATCTCGATATTATTTATGACAGGAAAAATGCAACTGTTAAAATCAATAGAATAGAAGACCTTGGAGAAAACGTTTATATTTCTACAAAATATAACAACTTGGCATGGTATAGATTTATGAGGATGTTAAATCAGCCTGCAGCATATCCAGTACACCCAGACTTTTATGAAGTCGAAAACCCTAATGGAACATATGAAAATGTTTTCGACCCAGCTGCTATTATTGTTCATGCTTCATTTTCTGGCGCCCAAAACTCTTTCTTATGCTTGGCAAATGACTTTTACGAAAAAACCTACAAAGTTATACGAACCACCAAGTGGAAGTATTTCAGACTTTCAAGTATGGTTTACTACAGATGGAAGAAAAAGAATAATTCCATTATACCATGCGTTTTACTTAGAACTTAGTTTCATATACAACTACTATCGAACGGTAAAAATATAATTTTTTAATATACCGGTTGTGGTGTTGGATTTGGTTGCCAACTAGACTGTGGTGCAGGTTCAGGCTGTTGTATAACAGGAGCTTGTTCTTCTGGTTCAGGGTCTTTAGGTATAATACCAACGAACTGACCTACTCTTTTACCAATATTTTTGACACCGTTCCAAATTCCTCTTCCTACGGTTTTTATTCCATTCCATATACCTCTTCCAACATTTTCGAAAGAAGTTTCCTATCTTACTGAAGAAACCCATTTTACTATATGTAAAAATCTAATGTCCGCCTAGTCTCTTACGTTTCCTGTTGAGTTCCATAGCATTCTTTAACTGGAGCTCATACATTCTGTTTCTCCTCTGGTAGAAAACATATTCTGGGTCAACTCCTGTGTTCGCGTCATCTGCATAAAGTTGTTTATATCCACTTCAGGGTTTGTATAAAACTCTTTCCATCTCATATTTGCATACCATGGTGGCAAACCTAACGCAGCGTCATTTGACATGGCAGTTTGCATTTGTACATCTGTTGGCACTTGACCATAGTTTGCCATTGCAGTTTGTATTCTAACTTCATTTGGAATATTCTCTGGGTTTGGTTGTCCAGGTTGCTGTGCATTCGCTAAGTTCTGTGCGTCCATTTAATATTAGATAAAATATCTCTTACGAGTACATATACTGAACATTTGCAGGCATTGGTTCATCTTCATATTCTCTATATCTTTCTGCCACGTCAAAGAAATAAATGACACAATGGAAAAAACCTAAAACAAGTAGTCCTATTTCAAACCACATTTACTTACTAATAAAATTTCTTTGTTATGACACTTTCTCCGGTTTATAGGACCTCTCTCATATTCTATCTTGTCATATCTAAACTCATAGTCATGTATGTCCTCTAACCATCTCATAACGGTTTCCAAACCACTTTTATCGGATGTAAAGTAAAAGCATGGATGGTTATGTATAACGTCTAAAGTTTCTAAAGAGTCTCTCAAAGTCCAGTCTACTTGGTATTGAAAATCCCATGTGTTATAGAACGGCGGGTCCACTATAAAGAAAACATTTTCCTTGTCTTTATTTTTCATACAACTCTGTCCAATGACATCTCACAAACTCTATACCCTCAATATATTTTTCTATGTTCTCTTTGAAAACATTTGTATAGTTAAGATATAAAACTTTTGACATAAGTGTTTCAATGTCATGAACTCTTATAGAACCACTATATAATAGTCTAGCAGATATACTATCCCAGTCTATATATTCTGCTTTTTTCAAAACCTCTCTCACAATATTTTTCTTATCTACTGGTATACGTTCCATCTTACCTATAGGTATCTTTTCTTTTAACTCTTTCATATATTGTTTGTGTCTGGTATATGTTTGAGACGGTCCATATAGTTGTCGAAGTCATTGCATATAATCTTTGAGTCTGGGAATATTGTATGACATAAATGGGATATATAGAAACTTCCACCGAACAAATCTACAAATGTTAGACCATTCGGTAGTTTCTTAAGTTCTCTCAATATAATATCTTTACATTTACTCTTATTTCCAAAGAACGGTAACGGAGGTTTTGTAAAATTCATTTATATATAATAATAAAAATGTTTTTACCCGAAAAGTGACAGAAAAGTGACAAAACATGAAAAACATATATAATTTGTGAAAAGCGACACATTATATAATGTTTTCGACCCAGAAGAAGGCTTCTTCCCAGAAGCAATGGAGGAAGAAGAAGAGTCCTCCGAATTCACACCAGAAGACTAACAATTTTCCGAATAAAAACTTCATTTATACTAAACATCTTCGGGGCTAGAGGGCACGAAGTGCCTGGAAGCCCCACTACCTTTTTTTTTTTTTTTTTTATTCTAAGTAGATTTTGTAAAAAATCAAGAAAGAAAAATTTTAACGTGCTTTATTTTTTCTTTTTTATAATAATGCATATTATTATATAATTAACATATTCATAATGTTTCACCCTTTCAAAAATATAATCCTCCTCCTCTCAAATAAACGTACATACGGGTGGCCTCTTTTTTCAAAAAATTAAAATTTGAAATTTTGGGCTCAAATATTAGAGATTTTTTCAACCTTCAACGATATATGTTGTCTATATCAGACCTCCTTTCTTTTTGATACTTAACATTGTTCCTAAATCTTAGCCGTTAAGGCTGTTCTGAAAATATTTTTTTTCGAAAAAAATCGACAAAAATTCTTAAAATTCAAAAATCCCTTAATTCCTGAGGATTTTGGAAAAAAGTTTTTACATGAACATGTGTATATTATATGAAGTATATTGATAAGGTAAAAATCAAATTTTATTGCATATTCATCGAGAAAATAAACTAACGAATCCCTCAAAATTGAGAGGGTAATCCTCCTCCTCTCAAATAAACGTACATACGGGTGCACCCTTAAATAATATATTATTTTTTAGTCATAAGAATAAAAATATAGTAGTTATAAAAGGAATTAGACTTCATATATCAATTCTTTTTCTCTGTAGATGTGGAACGTTTGCTTTTCGATCTCTTTCGATGAACTTGAAAATATAAGTTATTATCGCTGAGAATCCTTTCCGAAATAGGAGCTTTACGTTTAGGAGGATTGTCGGATGAATTTTGTTTTTTATTGTTTGATTTTGTTGTTATGGAAGATTTTTTCTTATTTTTTTCAGAATTTTGCTGAGTAGGTGCCAAAAGTGCTTACTCTTAAACAACCATCGGATTTCCGGGTGAAATCGTGACACACTTTCGTCTTTCGTAGGCAGTGGTGGTTGTTACAAAAGGTAACTTCGAATGTAGCGTGAAATCTGCAAAAAAAAT